GGGGGCACCCCCCTGACCCTCTCAACCCGGGGCCGGGCAGGGGCCACCCCACTCGAGTCCACCTTAAGGGGGGACGGCGCTCGGGCGGTGTTTGTACACAGTGTGCACACTCCCGCCTGCCTGCGCTCTGCTGCCCCTGCCTGCACCCGCCCACCGCCCATGGCGCACTCGGGGGACCCTCCCTCCATCCCACCCCGACACCCTCAACCCCAAACCAGCCTCACGGTCGCGGGTGGGGGGAGCTGCACGTCCCACGGGGGCACCAGCCCTGTACAGGGGGACAGGAGCAGACCCCAAGCTCCCCCGGAACAGAGGAGACCCCCTTCGCTGGCACCCCAAGGCTGAGCAGGGGGACGGGAGGAACAACTCGGCAACAGGGCTGGGATGCTCCATTTATTGAGACGATGCTGGGGGGCGCCCTGGGGGGCTGCGCCAAGGCACGGCGGCTCTGGGGGTGCACAGGGATCCCCGGGGAAGCAGCACCACGGCGGCGGGGCAGCAGCGGAGGGGCCCTCAGGCCTTGCCGGGGTCCTCCTTCAGCGTCACTGTCCGGTTGAACACCATCTGGGGAGAGGCAGAGGGTCAGCTCGAAGCCCCATGGAAAGGAGGGGGGGCCCCACTGCCCCTTCCCCAGGGCTCACCTTCCCCTCCTCGCTGTCAGGATCCACTGAGAAGTAACCCAGTCGCTCAAACTGGAATTTATCGAAGGGCCGGGCGGAGAGAACGGAGCTGTCGACCAGGGCGCTGCGGACCACGCGCAGGGAGTCCTGGCAGAGGGCGGCAACTTAGTCAGCACCCCCAGCCCCTCTCCCCACCGCTGGGACACGGCAGGGCCCAGCCCAGGGAGGGACAGGGATCACATGGAAGTAAGTGGCTCAGGTAGGGGGAGAGAAGATCCCCTGCTCCCCCCAGGCCCGTAACTCCAGCTCCTACCCCTACTCACAGGATTGAGGTCACTCAGAAAGCCACCGGGCACCTCTGACGGGTCCTCGGGATTTTTGTGCAAAAACCTGCCACGAGACAGAGTCATCCCAAAGCCACCAGGCAAGAGGACGTGGGGCCCCGCGGTAACTTTAGGGCAGCAGCTTGTGGGACCCCACAGCAGCATCCTCCCTGCCAAGGAGCCAGGCAGACCCCACAGAGCGGGCTTGTACTCGCTCCTCTGTGGCTAACCGGGTACTCACAGCCGCTCGTAGAGCCGCACTTCACACACCAGCGGCTCCGACACCCAGTGGATGAAGGCTTTGGGCTTCTCCGCCACGTCCGACTTGGTGCAGGTCACCTCCAGCTCGATCACATGCCCACTGGCGTCCTGGGCAAGAGGACACAAAAGAAGCCACTAGGCAGCAGTCAGGCAGCAGTCCCATGCCACAAGGTGGCCCCGGGGCCGAAGCACGAGCCCCCCAGCTCAGCGCAACCCTGCACCCCGCTGTGCGAGGCACCGGACTGGCAGGGAGCTGACACACAGGCAGCCTTCACCCATGCTGTGCCCACAGTGCCCGGCCCAAGGTGACTATTGCTGCCTTCCCTGGTGGGGCACGGCCCAACCTCGTGTCACCAGTGCCCAGAGCCACGCACCTTGATGACGTTCTGGATAGCGATGACATAACCAGCGTGGCGCAGCCCCACTGGCTGCCCGGGGGCCAGGCGCTTGTAGCCCTTGTCCACCTCCTGTGAGAGAGTTCATGGCTGCATGAGGGGTCCCAGCACAAGCACAGGTCCCTCCCTCCAGCACATCCCTTTGTCCCCACGACTGCATCCCCCCACCCGCTCCTGCCATGACAGGGATCGCTGCGCCCAGGGCTGTCTCAACTCCCACTCTGCTGTGGGACGTTCCCCAGCACACAGGCCAGGCGTGGGCACCATCGGTTGGAGGGGTCCTGGCTAGGCTGAGGCCAGCAGGTGTTTCCCCAGTGCTCATCAGAGCTGCTGGCACTTTTGGGAGCTGCAGTTGGGTGCCTGACATCCACCTTTGCCCCAAGCAGCATCACTGCTGCACCCAGCGCTGCCAGGCTCCTACTGCCCGAGGAGGAGCTCCCGGGAGCAAAGGCAGTACGGCCCAGTGGGCCCAGCTCACCTCCCTGAAGTCCGTCTCCTCGATGTAGACGGTAGACTGGAAGGGCACTTTGTGAAAACCCCGGCTCTCATCAGCTGGGAAGTTGGGCACAAGGACCTCAAGTGCCTGGGGAGAAGGAGGGGGTGAATGTTGACCTTGAGGAACCCCATTCCCACCCCAGCCTGTGGCAGTCACAGAATCACAGAATCATCTGGGTTGGAAAAGCCCTTGAAGCTCCTCCAGCCCAACCATGAACCTCACCCTGACCCTTCCCAACTCCCCCAGATCCCTCAGCGCTGGCTCAGCCCGACTCTTCAACCCCTCCAGGGATCCCGGGGACTCCCCCCTGCCCTGGGCAGCCCATTCCAACGCCCAACAGCCCCTTCTGCACAGAAATCCTTCCTCAGAGCCAGCCTGATCCTGCCCTGGGCAGCTTGAGGCCATTCCCTCGGGGCCTGGCGCTGGGGCCTTGGCTCCAGAGACTCATCCCCCCTCTCTGCCCCCTCCTGGCAGGGAGTTGCCGAGGGCCAGGAGGTCTCCCCTCAGCCTCCTCTTCTCCAGACTGAACCCCCCCAGTTCCCCCAGCCGCTCCCCAGCAGACCTGTGCTCCAGACCCTGCCCCAGCTCCGTTGCCCTTCTCTGGCCACGCTCGAGTCACTCAATGGCCTTTTTGGGGTGAGGGGCCCAAAACTGAACCCAGGAATCGAGGGGCGGCCTCCCCAGTGCCGAGCCCAGGGCTCAGATCCCTTCCCTG